CTTCCTGGATGTTTGAAATAACCACACTTTGTGTAATTATCTAAAAATCTAGATTACTCCCACCCCTAGTCCTACTGTCTTCACAGTTGCGCGGTGCAGCTGAGCTCTCTGTGACATGATCGAATAAATGTTGTGTGCTTTCCTGATACAAAACAGTAAAACTACAAGGTCAGTGCAAAGATCAAGGAGCAGGTTTTTTGTGTTAGTTGGGGCCTATTTCTGTTCATGATAACACAGTATATGAACCTCTTCCATTGAATATCATAGATGAATTTGAAGCCAACAGAAACTTTTGCATCTGATATAAATGGAGTAAAGGTAGTGCTTGAAGCTTCATGTGAAGGCTACTCTGATTTTCCTGGGGCGACAGCGAGACTGATGTAACTTTTCTCTGTGGTTGCTGTGCTATACATCAGTGTATTGACTGCTGGCCTCGGAGAAGACGAGCTTAACGTCGGCTCTTGGCAGGCCGCCTATGTGCAACAATCTCCTGGAAGTATTTTTAGGAAATGCCTGATAACAGTATAATCGCATTAGCGTTAGGATGAAGACTTCCGCTTCCTCGATAAAACCGTGGCTTCTTTTTGTGTTGGTAAGCTGCAGTCCGTGAGCCCCCTGGAATAGAAAGTTAGCCCAGGTGCTGGCTGCCAGCGTGGAGCGCCCCGATGACGACGCTAGTGTGGCATTGTGGGAGTAAGCGGGTGCTGCTCACTCTGCCAGCCACCCGCTGGCTGGCCAGGAAGATGAGCCAAGTTCCTGTGCCGATACTGATAGAAGATGTGTGGGCGTGGTCTCCCCCCTTTGACCCGAACAGGTTGTGATTGGTGGGTTTGGCGCAGATAGTGGGAGGAGCAATGTGGGCGTGCTTCTAAGGAAAGTCGCTGTTCTGCTGTGGGACAGTGGTGCTTGCCTTTTGCTTGCTGACCTTTTTCACAACTGAATTGCGCAGAGAGTCCTGACCAAAAGGAGCCTCAATTGTCCTGCAAACCACAAAGGTCTCATCTGTGACTAGTAGCTTGCATCAGATGCAGCAAACTCTGTTTTTGGCAAGGCCCCAGTCTCAAGCTGTACCACTGTCCCACGGGGATACATTCGTATTCATTAATCATCTTGAAGTGCTTTCCTCCCCCTGCCAGCTTGAAAGGCGAGATTTCCCTTCTCTCGGAGGGTGCAGGTGGATGAGAGGTAGTTGGGATAGTTTAGTCTCTGTGTTTAGTTCAGGTCGCTGTAAACTACAGAGTCTCCATCAGATATCACTACCTCTGAAGCCATTCAGAGCCCCTGTGGCAACCTGGAGATCAGAATTTAAAAGGTTTGAAAACCCGATAGGTGGATGCTTTGGCAACATCCATCCATCCATTTTCTAACTGATTTAGGGTGCTGGGGAGCAGGGGGCTATCCCAGCAAGCAACAAGCACAAGGTGGGATACACCCTGGATGGGACGCCAGTCCATCGCAGGCCACACACAGACACCAGCAGAAGTGCATTGGCAACAACATGCATTTAATGGCTACATAATGTCCCATATTGAATGTGTTCCTGCCGTCCCTTCCTGCTACCTTGTGATTGTGGCCAATGGGTCTGAAAACCAATCAGAACAGAGAGAGTGCGCCACACGGACTGCAGCTCAATCGTTGTCCTGGTGCTTTAATTAAGCTGGTTGGTCCTGTTTAAAAAAAAGACAGAATGCCAATTCCGGACCCAAAAGCCCAGATCCATAGAACTGTAAACAATGTACCTGTTTCAGATCTCGTGTGTATTGTTTGGGGAACTTCTGAATTCTAAATTACACTGGCTTTTAGCATAAACTCAGTTTGTACAGCAAGAAGCACCTCCTGATCTTCTGGATTACATGAAGGAAACACGTTTACACCTGGATCACAGCGATTAGGTGTTTACTAATGAAAATACCCCTGCCGCTGTGTAGTCTTAAAAAAACCAAGATGTGGTGCTGTATTGTCTTCTGCTGCAGCTGTTTTAGAGTCTCGTTGTCTTTGGGTTATATAAGCAGGCAGAAAACAACACGCATGCTGAGGCTGTGTATCAATAGCTATTGCTATTATTAGTGGAATGACGTCTTGTTCTCCTACTCAATAATTGCTTCTGTGCTGCCCAGGAGGCAGGCGAATGCGCTGCGACTGGACACGTACAAGCAGACACACACACTTCTGCACGCAGCCACAGGCTGACCTTACCGCTGTCGTAGTCTTAATGGATGCTCATGGTTTTGTGCTTGGTGCTATGGGGGCAAATGAAGTTGACCAGAATGAACGTCAAATCTCTGTTTTGTCCATGATCCCTATCACAGAATTGCTCTCTTTAGTGAACGTGCTGCAAATCCCCTTTCCCTCCTGCCCTGTATTCGTGTTTCCTGTAGTACTAGTCTTGCAGAGGGTGTCTGGGGAGGCTCAGGACTGGTGCAGTAGCTCCTTATCGATTCTCCTGTAGGTTCATTAGTTGTTATGGCAAGAATTCCATCTATATGGGCACGGTTCACATCGTAAGGCTTGTCTTTATTTTTCAACTAATCTTTGTGAACTAAAAAATCCACAGATTTAACCTGTGTGATCAGACTAAGCGTGCGTGGCGATTGAAAAGAAAGTCACATTAACAAGTGTTAAGCACTAATAAGTTACATTTTTCAGTGGGACTTTTTGATCCACCGTTCTTTGCCCTCTCTGCTCTGCTGTGCTTTGTAGTACTGAATTGTCTATGTATCCTCTGCTAGTTTCCTTAGGCAATATTTACCAGATTTGTGTCCATATCAGTTCTGTTTTTCATCAGACTGTTAATATACACAAAAGCATGTTTAAAACATGTGGGAATTTGTTGATAAACATTGTCTGACGAAGTCCATGTCCTCAGACGCAAGGCTGGCCTCTGTAGGGGCTACCTCTGTGCAGAATGTACTTTCTTTTACTTTTGTCTGCCAATAATTAAAGGCACATGTTGCAGTATCAGTTCTACATGTTCCAATCCAGTGCTGGGCAAAAGGGATAGCTATTTGGACAGGGCAGTAATCTGTGATGTGCTTGATCATTTGTTACTGTCTGTTTTATGGAGCAAGTACACATCCGTATTGACCACAGGTGAGGTTTTGGTTGTCTATGTGCATCATGGGGAAGTTGATCGTTGATTAGGAGTTTATTGTCACTGTAAATGTGCATTGGAATCCTTATTCATGCTATTCTCTCAGGACATGAACAGTGCAGCAGACAGCACCACACAATGCAGACAGCACATTGCAAAACAGTGCATGATAGTGATAGTATCTATAGTCCATAAATAGACGGTAGTGAACAAGAATCCATGGTAGACCAAGTCAAAAGTGCAGAGGCATTGCACAGTTGGCTGTTTATGATGCACACTGTCGTAGGGTAGAAGCTGTAGTACGGGGACCCAGTGTGACCAGTGACCCATTGATCCAGACTTTGGTACATCTTAGAATTTAACCTTTTCTTCATTTTCTGTCTCGGCAGCAGTGGAGGTGAAG